CTGCCCCCACAACACACTCTCTGTGCTCCAGCCCCTAGAAAATTCTCCCAGCTGTTAAAATATACTTCTCCAAACCTTTGCATCTGCTATTCTTTCTACAGAGAGAATGTAGAATATTCTCCTATGCTCTCCTCCACTCCACTTCCCCCCAAAATGCCTCTCATCCTTCATGTCGCAGACCTCACTGACCCCTCATGACCTTTCGCATCTGGTGTGTCCCCCTTTCTCTGTGCTCACCTCTCATACCCTCCCTAACTCCACCATGTCACTTTCCACTCTGATCAGTTCACAGTTCAACTGTTGGTTTCACCCCAAAGACTGAAATCCACAAGGGTCAAGGCCAGGTCTGTAGGCTCGGCCCTGTGTCCTCAGAGCCCAGGGCAGCAGGGGTGCAATCAAACTGTGCTCACTGGCCACTTGGAGGGAAAGGTGATGGGTGAGTGGGTGGGTGCACAGGTGCATTTGATTGAGGTCCTGGACCCAGTTTGTTTCCTCTGCCTGGAAGCTCCAGTGCCCTGGTTCACACATTTTTGGTCCCACCTGTTCAGAGATGCCTGAGCACTGGTATGCACCCAGGTTACTTTAACTTGCCCCTGAGCTTGAGAACCACTGTTCTTGATACTGCACCCCTTAGAGGCTGCCCCATTTCTTCTGTTCAAATGTCTCAGTTGAGTACTCTGTACCCCCACTTGTGTTCTTCTCAACGTCTGACAACTCAAATCTTAGCATTCCAGGGCCTGGCCGAAGAATGCACAGAACCACCCTCTCCAGGCTGCTGAAGTCAACTGGCTCCCTGTTCCTGGCATCCTCCATCTCCCTGCAGCCTGCAAGAGCGCCGTGTGGGGTTGTGTGAACCTGGCCTCAAACCCCAACTCCAGCCCTTCTATGCTGTGTGATCTTGAGCAAGTTACTTAAGCTCTCTGAACCTCGTTTTCCTTAAACGTAACTCCTCTCCTGGGGCAGCTGAAAATAGACAGTGATAACCCAGAAATGCACGTCCAGTGCCCTGCAATGCAGCCTATTATGATCCAGGCCCTATGCCCCTTCTGGCAACTCCCTGCACAGGGGTCCTCCCACCAGCCTCTCTAACCTCTTTTTCTTTCCTTTTCCTCAGACCCCTAAGAATTGCTCACCCTTACTGGGCATTTACCTGAAACCTGGCCTCGTCAAGGTTAACCTCTGGGTCTGACCCCAGCTTTAGGAAGGATGTCATCTTGTCCTCTCTATTTTAGAGGAGAAAACTGAGGCACCGGCTGGCAACTTGTCAAAGCTGCCTGGAAGTGGCAGGCCTGGGATTCAAATCAGCACAGTTTGATGGAAGGGTTGGGCTCCTCACTGCTGGTATGGCTGACTGCCCCTTGTGAGGCCCAGGCTTGTGTCCTGGACCCTCTGTGTTCCTTGCAACCCTTTCTAGATATTGCCAAGTTCCTAAACTTAAAAGATTTAGATGTGGAGGGTAAAATAGAGAACCTCCTAGAATAAATCAAAGGAGCATATCATCATGATATTGAGGGCAGGAAATATTTCCTAAATAAGACTAAAAAAAAAAAAAAGGCTAACCTTAGAAGACTAGATAAGCTGGACTGAATTGAAATGAAGAACTTCTGTTCGTCTACAGACACCATTAGGAGAACTAAAAGGCCACAGGTGGTGCACATGTTCTGCCAAAGGGTTCAGAGGCAGAACAGAGAAAGAACCCCTATGACTCAATACAGCTCCCTGACAAACGATTTTTAAAAATCACATAGGCCTGGCTTTGGACCCTTGCTCTTCTCAACTGTTCAGTGAGATCCTGGGTAAGTCTCCATGAGGTTCTGATGCTCCGAATTCATTCTTGTATTTCCAAACTGGGGATAAAATCCCTGCCTCACTGTTAGGTTTCCTGTGAGAATCAGAAAAGGGATTAATGCACCAAAAATGGATCATGGGTCAGCTGGGGAATTCTGTCAATACCCCTCTGTCCCTCTCTCGCAAATTGGAGCTCCCCAAGGACTTGGCAACGTGTTGCGAGTACGGGGGCGGGGGTATAAATGTGATAAGTGAATGGACAGGGATCAGCATTCCTGGATGAGGTAACAGCATGAGAGAAGCATGAGGGTGGAAAGGTACAGTCAGGGTCTTTGGGGGTTGGGTTAAGGTACTATCAGGGGAAAAGCGAGAACAGGCTGGGCCGGGCAGGGGATGGATCTTTAATACCAGGCCAAGGAATTATATGCCAGGCATTATCTGGAAGGACACAGGCAACCATAAAAGTTTTGGGGATGAGGGGTGCATAAATGATGGGGAAAGAGAGACGGGGAGAGACAGAGAGCTTTGGAGATTAGAGGTCAGGGGCAGTGAAAGATTTCTCCATATGCAGCGGCCATTTCAGGACTTCTGCTTCAAAAGAAGGACGATCGGAACCTGAGTAAAAGAGAGAGTGTGTTCAGTGGGAGGGGTGGGCCAGAGGCAGGAGGTGCGTGGTGGGGGGGAGAGGAGCAGGAGAGGATCCCGCTTCACCTCCCGTTCACTCCTGCAGAAGGGGACCACCAGACAGAGGGGCTGGCCGTGGTTCTCAGATGTGGCACCCGGAACTTGTTAGAAACACAGTCTGGGGGCACCTGGGTGGCTCAGTTGGTTAAGCGACTGCCTTCGGCTCAGGTCATGATCCTGGAGTCCCGGGATCGAGTCCCACATCGGGCTCCCTGCTCAGCAGGGAGTCTGCTTCTCCCTCTGACCCTCTTACCTCTCGTGCTTTCTATCTCTCATTCTCTCTCTCTCTCAAATAAATAAATAAAATCTTTAAAAAAAAAAAAAGAAACACAGTCTGGGTCCCCACCCCACGCCTACAGAATCAGGGTGTCTGCACTGGGCCCTGCACTCCAGGGGATTCTGATGAGTGCTGATTTGAGAACCGCCGCCGCCGGATGAGACAGCCCCCGAGAAGAAAGGTCTCCGTGGTCTTCCCTTTCAGAGACACTGGTAAATGACACACGGTCACAGAGCCAGGCGTAGGTGGGGTCCCCTCCCCTGCCATCATAGCCCATAGTGGCTTCAGCCCAAGCCAGCCTTCACCCTAAGGGGATGCACCCAGAGATGAGAATCTGCACCCACTCTTGGGGACAGCTCAGCCAGCTTGCGGCTCTGCACAAACGTTGGCTCTTGTGGGGCGGCCATAACCCCATCCAAAGACTTACCCCTTAAAACTTTCTCACTCCATCTTGCCTCCTGCCTCTGACTTTCCTTGGCAGACCCCCATCCCATCCCTCTCCCAAGGGCGGGGGGGCTGCTAATTGGAAAAGGCAGGTGGTGGCCACGCCTGGTAAGACTCCTGACCCAGGTTCTGACCCAGGGCTTGATTATCAGTTAGGCTAAGGTTTAAAAATAGCAGCCCTGCGGGGGAGGGGGCAGTGCCTGGGTGTGGGGGGGAGGGAGGGTGGGTCTGTCCGTCCCGTCCCGGTTAGATTTCAGTTCTGCTGCCTTTCCTTCTCCGGGTTTTGACCTTCTGTCTTCAGGGGTGAGTTTCCTGCCATGGGGGGATTGGTGAGGGTCCGCCTTGCTGGCAGGATGGCCCCCCTCCCTCCAGCGCTAGCATTTTGTACTGAAGCTTGCACAGGAGTTGCCTAAGGGGAGGGGTCTCTGCATTTCCAGCTCTCGGGAGAGAGCAGAGGGGGTTCAGTGATATTGACTCTTCCTTCTGCTCTTTCTAGAAAGCCTTGTCTTACTCTTAGGGTGAAATCGTCTTCATCTGTGAGATCCTGGATCACTGACCTCACGGCCTTTGAGCCTTACCCGAGGGCAGCTTGTCGGGCCCTCCGTGTGTGTGTGTTGAGCCTTACCCGAGGGCAGCTTGTCGGGCCCTCCGTGTGTGTGTGTGTGTGTGTGTGTGTGTGTGTGTGTAGCCTCGGCTCAGACCCCGGTGCTTACCCGAGGGCAGCTTGTCGGGCCCTCCCTGCGTGTGTGTGTGTGTGTGTGTGTGTGTGTGTGTGTGCAGCCTCGGCTCAGACCCCGGTGCTTACCCGAGGGCAGCTTGTCGGGCCCTCCCTGCCTGTGTGTGTGTATCGCGTGCACTCGCGCTCTGGGTCCCCCCTCCACAGGGCTTACCCGAGGGCAGTTGTCGGGCCCTCCCTGCGTGTGTGTGTGTGTGTGTGTGTGTGTGTGTGTGTGTGTGTGTGTGTCGCGCACGCGCGCTCTGGGTCCCCCCTCCACAGGGCTGGGCCAGCCCAGCTGGCCCACTTAAAGGAGCCTGAAGCGTGTCGGGGTGAATTTGTTAAATTATTTAAACAAGCAACTAAGCGTCACGAGGACCCCAAATTATCATTTCGGGGAAGATGAAAAAGGATTTGGTTAAGAAAAAGACTCAGGGTCTAGCAATTTTAAATTGGGGTTCAAAGAGCCACACCTGTGCAGAAACTATCCCAAGTTAGGCAGAGGCAGATCTTTCTCCCTTAGTCTTGCTGGTATGTCCATTTGCATTCCCAAAGGCAACTCATCCTCCTACTTGATGTGCATACAAACATATGCAAAGATAGGTTCTAAATGCCACCCTCCTTTTACACCAAAGCAGCATAGTATGCACTTGGTTCTGGACCTTGGATCCACCCCTCCTCTCCTTCACACTCCTTGGAATTTTCCTGGTCCTCGAAGATGTGTCCTTGTTATTATTTTTTTAAAATATTTATTTATTTTGACAGAGACAGCGAGAGAGGGAACACAAACAGGGGGAGTGGGGGAGGGAGAAGCAGGCTTCCCAAGGAGCAGGGAGCCTAATGCGGCGCTCGATTCCAGGACTCTGGGATCATGACCTGAGCTGAAGGCAGACGCTTAACGACTGAGCCACCCAGGCACCCCGTGTCCTTGTTATTTTTAACAGCTGTGTTGTATTCCACCTTCTGCACCTCCTGTAACGTTTCCCCAGTCCCTTCCTGCGGCCAAGGGATTCGTCCAATCATCTGCTGTCACAGACGGCGCTTGGGCTGGAACATCATGTTGCCTGGACTTAAGTGTTAGGTCAGAGGGCACCTGCCTTTGTACCTACAGTGGGTGTTTGTCTTTCTCCTCATGGGGAGGTAGGAAAGGAGACTGTTCAGAGCTGGACCTGGGAAGGGGGGCGGGATTTGAACCTTTTCCCTGTGCTTTCTAGTTATTTGCTCACCTGAGCTTTGGTTTTTAAAATCTGTAAAATGGGGCTCGCAGTCGGGAGGGTGCAGTGGGATTAGCTAAGTCAAATGTTGGATTCAAGGCCAGATGCTGAGCGAGAGCTCGAGGTGTCCAGAATAGTAGAGTCTGGCGATTCAGCTGCCCCCGCATCGTTTCTGGGGTGACAACCGGGGCTTGTGGGGAGGGTGGGGGTCTCAGAGCCAAGGATTGGAGCTTGGTCATCAAGTCATGGGTTCCATGGGGAAGATCCCCACCCCAGTCCCACGCTTGTTTTGACCCTGAGCTTCTGTGCTCTGTTGGGGAACGCTGGGTCTCCCCAGGCCCGTTCTGGGGCTACCTGTTGGGAGGCCTGGAGGAAGAAGGCACGTGGTCTGCCTTAGATCCTCAAAGCTCTGGTCCCTGGCACAGTCCACAGATGGAGGGGCTGACTGCTAGCCTTACCTGATTCTGTGTCTTCTACACACGTGATTCCATCCGGTTCTCAGAATTGCCCTGTAGGAGAGACGAATATTCCCACCAGCCAACATCTCTGTCATGGCGGGACCTTGCTCCATCCAAACGGAACCTCGTGTTCGCATGACGCCTCTGGGCTCTTCCACGCTGCCCCCTCAAGGCAGGGAAAGAGCCTGTGATGCGTGTGGGGTTTCCCGTTGCCCCTTGTTCACACTGGGGATGAGTCCTCAGTGGAGAGGTATACTGCTGGACTAGAGGGTGACTGATGTTGTAGGACTGGAAATGCCCTCTGTATGTCTGGAAAGAAAAACATAACACTTGCTACTAACATCTCAAAACGTCTGTGTGACACTTTCACCCTTAACACCCTCACTGCCAACATTTAGGATAAACATTGGTCAGCAGCCAATCTTTTGAACCCTCTCGCCGACAGAGGTGTTCTCAGACCCGTGCAAATAGACCCTAAACAGTGCACATCTGTGTATCTGCATCTGCTTTCCTGCTGCAGGGGCTCAGGACGAATTGGTCGACCAGGCGCAGTTTGACGGGCTCCTTTCTCCAGCCCTAGAACCGGTGGCTCAGGGACGTCACTGATGTGAGAACATGAGTAGAGAGAAGGAAGAGGCTTCGTTTAGTATACTCAGTATTTATGATGAACCAGAGGAGAGGAGGAACGTGCCAGAAAGCTCTGGCATTTCCTCCCAGCATGAGCATCAAGCACAGTCCCAACCGGAGGGGGTGTATGGGATGCCCCAGCAGCCCCCCGGTTCCCTGACACAGCATGGCCTGGTTTATCAGGAGATGAGCGCTAGGAGCCCACAGCAGTGGGTCCTCCAGAGTCTAGGCAGATCTGGGCTCCAGGCCAGTTGGTTCCCCCAGGAGGAGCCACAAGCCACAGCAGAGCTGGGCCCTGGGTAGGTCTCCCTTGAACCAGACTGGTGGTGGGACGGGGGAGCTCTCCCTGGGAGAGGGGATCCTAGCACGGAGCTCTCCGGATCACACTGAATCTCTCCCCCCCTCCCGCCCCCGCTCCTGTCCATGTGTCATAGCTTCCTGCCAGGACCCAAGTTTGGTAAGTCCCAGTTGGGACGCGTGGGCAGGGAAGGTGGCAGCCCAAGGCTGGGCCTCGGATGGGGGACAAGGCGTGAGGCCTGGTGTCGGGGAAAGCAGCCTTCCCCTTGAATCCTGTGGTTCTGTTGCTGTCGGCCGCCCTCTCTGTGAGCTGTGAGCAGGTGGGCATTGATCTTTCCCTGCAGGCCGGCCTTGCCCTTCACCTCCGCCCAGTGAAGAAGTCTGGTCGTTTCTCAGGGCAATGGTAAGTGTCGTATTTTTTCTGCACTTGGGATCTTTGCCTTCCCCGCTACCCCCCAAAGTAAGGAAAGGGGAGGGCATGCAGTGTGTCCTTCTCTCTCCCGTAGGGGGTGGCTGTCCTGCAGCTCCCTGCTTCCTTGGAACTCGGCTCCCGGCTCTCCCCGCCACCGTGCAGGGACTTCGGCTCATGGTGTCACCTCTTCTAGAGCTGTGTCCAGGGCGGGGGTGGCGCTCTGAGCCGGGCCCTGCTCTTACTGCTGGTGAGCAGCATTGTCTCAGGACGTTGGGTGAACAGTTAGGAATTCAGTTAGAGGACTGGGCAGGCGGTCACCCATGGACGATGGGCACCCGCTTTCTCCTCTCCCCAGCCGCCCATTCCGGATGAAGCCGTGGTCAGGCAGAGGGTCCCCCAGAGGTGCTGGAAGGTTGGCAGGCTCTGCCATGGAAATAAAGTCTACGCCGTTGCCATCAGCGGCTCGACTCACCACGTGTACACGTGTGGCCACGGCTACATTAAGGTCTGGGACGAGAGCGCTCTGCATGCCTGCAACAAGGCCCCACAGGCCCAACTGGACTTGCAGGTGGGGGGGGTGTTCAGGGAGGGCTGGGGGAACCCTGACGTGACCTCTGTCATGGGACTCGGAGCCCGGGCCTCGAGCAGGTGATGTGAGGGCGGGGACTGTTCCTGCAGGACCATCAGAACTGCGTCCTTGCCTGCAAGCTGTTCCCCGACGGGCAGCGCCTCATCACTGGGGGTCTGTCCCGGAACCTGACGCTGTGGGATCTGGCACCCACACCCCGTGTCAGGGCACAGCTGGCCTCCTCGGGCCCCATATGCTATTCCCTGGCGCTCTCCTCCAATGCCCAGATCTGCTTGGCTTGTTTCAAAGGATTTGTTGAGATTTGGGATTTGCAGAACCAAATCTTGATCAGGTACAACCCAGGGGAGGGCTGGACAGTGAGGCCTTTGGGAAGGCTTGTGTGCCTTTCTGGACCTCCCTCACCCCGCTGTGCAGTAGGACTAGGTGAGTCCATGTGGAGAATAGATGTGGGGCACTCCTGGGGGCTTCCTGGGTCCGAAACGTCCTGGTGGTTAGCCAGCGCGTGAACCTCTGAGTTCTTCACCCGCCAGGAAGCATGAGGTCCCAGAATATGGGTCCCGCTGTGTGGACATCGCAGGCAGTAAGTTCTGGACAGGAGGAGAAGACACCAGACTATATTCCTGGGACCTGAGGTGCTACCAGAGGTTGCAGCAGCACGAATTACGGCAAGAGGTGTCTGGGCAGCCACCAGGGGGCTGAGGGTGGTCCCCGGGGCTGGGGGCCGGAGGCTGAGTCTCCCGAGGGGGCGTGAATGACGAGGTGGGCAGCTTGGAGTGCTGACTCCGGTCCTTCGCAACAGATCCTCAGCATTACCCACGACCCCAGTGAGGAGTGGGTGCTAGTAGGCCTGAGGACAAGCGATATCATCATTCTCCACACGCACCGGAGGGAAAAGGTTAAGGCAGTCCTTCGTAAATATGTCAACCACCACAACCTCCAGTTTGCCTCCTGTGGTGAGTGGAAGCCAGGTGACCCCTCTAGGGGTCCTGTCCCACCCCGGGATGTCTGCTCTTCTGCAGAGTCGGGGCCCAGCCTCGTTCCAGGCTCTGTTCCTCCCTCTTAAGCCCCAAGCCTGGCCAAGTGGAGACGCAGGTGTCTGTGTCCCTGCCGCTCTCGTCTGTGCACCCACCGCCGCCTCTCCCTCTGTGGCCTGGCGCCCTGCCTGTCTTCTGTGCCCGTCCCTCTCCTCTCTGGCTGTCTGTAACGGTGCCTTCCTACACAGAAGAGCAGCTTGGAGACACGGGCAGGCAGAAGAGGCATGGAGAGGCACGAAGCCCCATCTGATTGTCCTTTTGTGCAGTGATACTGAGCACCACCCCGAGTGTGGCAGGAGGATAGGACCAGAGGAGGGAATGGTTGGGCTCTTGTCTCTGATTTTTATAGATGGGCACACTGAGCCAGAGGAAGAGCTGCTCTTTTCCTAGTCACCTTGGGGATGGAGCTGGGACTGGAATGCAAGCTTGTCTCTGGCCTCTCCACCTGCCTTTCCTTCACCAGGGAGCTATTTTGTGACCGCACTGGACGAGGCGATCCACTGCATAGCCGCACCTTCTCTACAAACGTTGTTTCAGGTATTGGGAGGAGGGATGTGCAGAGCCAGGCTCTCAGAGCTCACACCCAGATCCCAGTGAGCCAGGTCCTGAGGACAGTGCTGGAAAATACCTCTGGGGTGGTATCTGGGTCCATTTACTATATCCAGGGGAATGAGGACTCAAGGTTCTGTGACTTCACAGGCTCCACCGTGAGCCCTGAGACCTGCCCCGTTGTCTCCAGACCGAGCCCTAGGTCTGTCCTTACCCTTGAAACAGCCCCAAGTGAGGCCTTCAGCTGTGGCCCACGCCTGGCCCCTGCCTGTGGTCACTCTTCTAGCCTCCTTCCCTGTAGGTAGAGGAGCCTACGGACATCCTGTGTTGTGATGTGTCTTCTGACAACCAGTATCTGGTCACGGGTTCCAAGAACAGTGCCACGGTTTACCAGCTCTTGTACTGAAGTTTCCGTGCCATGTTCCTGCTGGTGAAGACCCAGAGGAGGCTGGCAGGCTGAGGGGAGGGCAGCCTCCGTGGCCTCGATAGCGCTGCCAGACCCTCGGTGGCCGGGCCTCTGTCCATTCCCTCCCCCCCCAGGACACGCCTAGCCTGTGTGCACAGGTTTTTATGATACGGCGTAGGGATTTTTCTTCTGTTAGTATTCTTACCACTGATTTCTGGGTTTGGGTGGGGAAACTTGCCTTTATAATTAACAAAATAGAAGAGCAAAAACCAAAATGTCCTGATCATGTGGTCAGTTTTTTCAAAGAACAAACTCCTCGTGATGGATTGCTTAGATCCCACTCAGCAACTTTCAGGCTGGGGAAGGAATTTTACACCAGACTTAGGTTTTGTTTGTTAAATGTAGACCATCAACACTCCACTCCTGACCCAGGTTAAGACTGCATGAGCTGGTCTAACCATATCCCGAGGAAGGGCTTGTGCACTTTCTCTCATGTGCAGTTTCTCTCTCTCTCTCTCACTCAGCTGCTGCTTGAGAATATCTGGCTTTATTTGAGTCTTTGGAAGGCCTGATTTTCATTCTGGCATTCTGTAATATTCAGTCTGGCCCTCTCCAGGTGGAAAAAGCCGAGCTCCTGAAATCAGGCCATAGAGGCCTGCTTCCTTGTCCTTGCCTATTCTGCCTCCTCTTTGCTTGCTTGGTGTTGGCAGAGCTGAGGCAGCTAAAGTTGGTAGCTTAGGGTTGTCACTGGGAGGAGGTGCAAAGCCAGGGACCAAGCATGTCATCCTGTGCACCGAGATTCGGTCAGGTACCTAGTTCCTGCCGATGGATCATGAGTGAGGAATGCGCCTCGTTCCTGGACCAAGGCTAAAGGAGTAGGGGACGTCCCCTCCAGGTTCTTGGTCTCCTACCAGCTCCAGGTGAGGAGGTGGAGGCCCTGGGGCATTGCAGGGCTATGAGGTGGAAGCATCCTTAGAACAAGTGTCCACTTACAGATGAATGGACAAGCAAATGTGATGTATCTGTAATATGCACACACACAAAGGAATGTATGCTTCAGCCTTTAAAAGGAAGGAAATTCTGACACCTGCTGCAACGTGGATGAACCCTGAAGACCTTGTGGGAAGTGAAAGGAGCCAGTCACAAAAGGACAAATACTGTGAATCTACTCCCACAAGGTCCTTCGATCACTCAGAGAGACAGACAGCAGAAGGGTGGTTACAGGGAGCTGAGGGAAAGAGAAATGGGGCGCTCGTGTTCGATGGGGGCAGTTTCACTTTGGCAAGGTGATAAGGATTCTGGAGATGGTCACGGGGACACGGCGGCGTAGACGTGCTCAATGCCACTGAGCTATACACCTCAAGGTGGTTAAGATGGTGTAAGTTCTGTTATGTGTATTTTATACAATTTAAACCAACAACTAGGGAATTACAAAGATCAAGTTCAGAATAGCGGTAATCTCTGGGGAGGGAGAGAGAGAAACTGGGTCGTGACAAAAAGGGAGCTTCAACTCCTTCTGCAGCGTTTATTTCTTCAAAAATAAAGTTTATCAGAATAAAAAATGAGCACCTCGGGGAGAACATCAAGAAAGGGTACAGACAATCCACGGAAGGGGAGAGGATATTTGCAAATCCTATTTCTGGTAAGGGACTTCTACCCAAAATATATAAAGAAATCCTTATAACTCAACAGTAAAAAGACAAGTAAACCAATTGTCCAAGGGGCAAAGGATTTGAATAGACATATCTCCAAAGAAGATACACAGATGGCCAGTGAGCACCGGAAAGGATGCTCACCATCACTGAGGAAAATGCAAATCAAATCCACAATGAAATACCACGTCACACTTGCTAGGATGGCTGGAATAGACAACAGCAACTGTTGGTAAGGATGGGGAGAAATTGAAACCCCAAATAGTGCAGCTGCTTTGAAAAGCAGTTTGGTAGCTCAAAATGTTCAACCTAGAGTCAGCATGGCACCCAGCAGTCCTGCTCTTAGGCATGTGTCTGAGAGAACGGAAAGAAGAAAAAAGCATGTAAGTGGGGAGGCAGTAACTGGAGTGATAAAAGAATTCCAAATTTTTTTTGCTGGAAAAAAGGTAAAAGTCCTCGGGTGCCGGGCTGGCTCAGTCCACAGAGCACACCACTCTTAATCTCTTAGGGTTGTGAGTTCAAGCTCCACGTTGGGTGTAAAGATTACTTTTAAAAAAAAAAAAGATGTAAGTCCCAGTTAATAGTATCTTCATAAGTCAAGTAGTAGCATTGGAATTTCTAGATTAATTACTAGAAGAATATTAAGGATACAGTTTCCAGATAGAGGGAAAATGCTGGCACAATGGAACATAATAACTTTTTTTAAAGATTTTATTTATTTATTTGACAGAGAGAGACACACCGAGAGAGGGAACACAAGCAGGGGGAGGGAGAAGCAGGCTTCCCGCCTAGCAGGGAGCCCGATGTGGGGCTCGATCCCGGGATCCTGGGATCATGACCTCAGCCAAAGGCAGACGCTTAACTGACTGAGCCACCCCAGGTGCCCCTTAATGAACTAGAATTTAAAAACAGGCAGAACAAAAAGGGAAACCTTATTAAAATGGTAGATTTAAATCCAAACATACCAGTAAATTATATTAAATGTAGAGTAAATATTCCTATTAATCTGTAGAGGTTATATGACTGGTTTAAAAATACCTCAAATATATGTGTTTAAAAGATATATATATTTAAAGATTTTGTCAGAGAGCACAAGCAGGGAGATCAGCAGGCTCCTCGCTGAGCAAGGAGCCCGACGCGGGACTCGATCTGAAGGGAGATGCTTAACTGACTGAGCCACCCGGGTGCCCCTAAAAGAGACATTAAAACAAGCATACAGAAAGTAGGAAACTCATAGGAAAAAAATGCTTCTACACACTAAATCAAAGCAAGCTGACATTATGTTACTATTAGACCACGCATAGTCTAAAATTAAAAGCAGTATTTGCAATAAAGGTGAACACTTCATAAGTGTTCATTTACCAGGAAGATACAAAAATTCTATGCTTTATGCATTTATTAATGTAGCCTCAAAATATATACAAATTGACAAAACAGACAAATCTCTCAATAACCAACAGTTGAAACAGACAAAAAAATAACATTAAAAAAAGAATACAGAAGATGAACATTAGTAGAAAACGTAGTTCAATGCGTACAACCAGTACAGAATACGTATTTTTTCCCCACATACACAAAAAGCATTTACAAAACACGACCATACACTGAGCTATACACTTCAGAGGATTTAATTCTTATAGAATATAGTCTATGACCAGGGTGCCTGGCTGGCTCAGTTGGTAGAGCATGTGATTCTTGATCTCTGGGTGTTGAGTTCAAGCCCCTCTGTGGTGTAGAGCTTACTTTAAAAATTAAAAAGTAAAAATATGTAACATATAAAATAAAAAATATTTTATTGATGTGAAGAACAAAGGCAAAAGAAATGTAGATAAAATTAAATTTCTTTATAACTTGCAGCCCATTGACAAATACTTGAGACAGGCAGAGTAAGACGTTCCTCCAGAATTGCCAACTGTTTTACTGTCAGTGCTTTGCTAGAGGGAAAAACCACCTTGGCTTGACAATCTCTAGGCCTCCAGGATCCTGTAAGTCTTCTTTAACATATGAAAATGCTCTTGGAAACTTCCTTTGTCTTTAACTCCCCCAGCTCCAAAGTAGATCATCAATTGCTCCTCACAATCCCACTGCAGCTCTTTTCTGCCCAAGAGTCCTGCTCCGGGGCTATAAAAAAACCCCACCTTTTTGCACCAAAAACCTCTCAAGAACTGTTTTTTGACCGTTGGTTCGGGAACCCCACTTCAAACCACATCACTATGACCACAATGCAACCAATTAAGATAGAAATGAATAATAAAACTAGAAATTTCCCTGTTTTGGAAAATAAGCAATATACTTCTAAATAATAGGAAACTGAATCACAAAGTAATTGGAAGCTATTGTAAACCGAATAATCAAAACTTGCAGGGTTCAGCTAGAGCTGTGGGTAGAGCGAGGCCTCGCCAGGGCAGCGCCCCACCTTGCGGTCCTGGGCCACGTGGGGGGCCCGCGCTGCCTGCCCAGGTTGCCCCCCACTCCTCGGCCGGCTCTTGAAAGCCGGGTCTGGGATGGAGCGAGGGTACAGCCTCTGGAGACAGCCAAAAAACAACGTGGAGACACGGTCTTGCTCCGAGTAGAGAGAAGTTGGGGCAAAGAGAAGTGACCCAGGAGAAGCACTTTCGCAGATGCCGCAAAAGCAAGCGCACCACTCCGCGACGCTCGGTCCATTTCCCCGCAGTCGCGCCAACACGGCGCGTTTTCTCACTTACGGCTTTTCATTCTTGGCAGCGGGGCCGCGGTCCTTCCTCCCGCCTGCGTTCCTGCTGAAGGAGTCTCCCTGCTGTTGGGGACGTGCGTTCCTCCGTCGCGGGCGTCCCGCTACCGGGAGGGCTTCTGAGCCCCCTCGCAGCAAGTCTTTCTGCACACGCCGCATCGGAGCACAGCAAAATAACCGTGCCCTCTCTGAGGCTCGAACTCAGGACCTTCAGATTATGAGACTGACGCGCTGCCCACTGCGCCAAGAGGGCCGCTGGAACTGAAGTCTTCTTTACCATTGAAGGGAAGTGCCTACGGCCCCTTCCACCGCCTGAGCCGCTTCCGCGCGTCTGTCTCTCCCTGCAGCGACCCGGGGGTCCCCGCCCCGCAGCGGGCCCCACGCCGTTGAATGTACAGACACGCGGGGAAGGAGGGTCGGTCTTGGGAGAAGAGCGGTCTCCGCGGACCCGGCCCGAGCAGCGGCGCGCCGGGCAGGTGCACAGGCTCCGAGGGTGACCCCACCCGCGCGCTCGGGCACTCGGGAGGCGCGCGCCTGGCTCGGGCGCAGGGCAGGTGAGAGGGGCCCTCCGAGCCCAGGTGTCAGTCCTGATGGCGGCGGGGCGCGGGTGGGAGGGAGGACCTCAGGCTCGCGGTGCTGACGGGCGGGGACAGAGGCTGGAGGGGGCGGCACCGGCTGTGGGTGGGCGGCAGGGGGCGCCCCTGCGTAAGGGGGTGGGTAGAGCCCTGGTAGCAAGCGGGGTGGGGGACGGAGTGGGATGACGGGGAGAGAGGGGCTGAGAGCTGTTTGGGGAGTGAGGTCCTGGTCCTGGATTAGGGGTGGGAGTGAGGTAGGGGAAGGGAGAGAAGATTCCAGAAGACTCTTGGGAGGTGAATTCAGTAGGAAAGCACAGGGAAGAAACTATGGTTACTTT